ATTTCTCATCTTATCACTATTTAAAAATCAATTATTCCCCCAAAAATCTCTACCAAACACACTCTTACACTTGGACTAGATAGCAATATTAAAAAGGTTTAACCTCCAAGTCTCGAAACAAAATCCCCAGAATATTCCTGATTTGTATTTCATACACCTCCCACCAAACTTGCTCGCTCCTTGACGGAGCCGCCAACGTTCTTCTCTACCCAATATATACATACACAATCTCCCCACCCACCGGTTCTCTCTCACAGCTCTCGCGATCTGAATCTGCGAAAATGCAGAGCACGGCAATTGCATTCTCCCCTACCATTTCTCTCTCCACCAGGCCTCAAAAGTCCACCTCTCTCTACAGATTCAATCCCATTTCTCTCACCCCGTCGAAACAGCTCTGTTTTAAGGATGGTCGGGTGTCGGGATCAACTTTGGCTCATAATTCTTCGAGTCGTAAAGTGGGTTCAATTAGCTGTTCTTTGAGACCCAATGGATGGATTTCGAACCCAGAACCAGGAAATCAGGAGACCGAGTCCGAGGGCGTCATGGCTCGGGCCACATCTGTACCAGAGAGCGCAGGGGCTGCTGAGATTCCGAAATCTAAGAGTGCTATGGATACTTTGGTGCTGGGATCGCTTTTCGGGCTCTGGTACCTATTTAATATCTACTTCAATATCTACAACAAGCAGGTACTTGCTTTCTTATTTTTTGGTCTTTTCTTAATTTAAAATGATCGGGTCTAGATAGTTTTAGATGTGTTTCTGCATGTTTAGATGGTGAGTATTGGGAACATGATTATTGTTAATTTTGATGATGTTAATTGGTAATTTTGGTTAAAGGTAATATCCCTCATCGATTAATGATGACACAAATAAACATACAAGGATTTGATGGAGAAAAGTAAATCCTTCCTACATTTGAGTGGTTGTGTTGAAGTCCATATTTAATTGATATACATGTGACCATATCTCGTAACTTGAGCTTTTACATCAAGTGGTTCAACAATAATATTGTGATGCATGGAAGTTTTATTTTGCCAAATCACTTGAAACTCAAGCTGTAATTTCAGAAACTGATTTTGTTGGGATATGAAGGAACGTTTGATTGTTTTCTTTACCCAGCATATGAATGATTTGGTTTTTTTCATTTATATATTCGATACACTATATTTTGCGCTTATAGAAGTTTCTTACAAGGAAAGTTATTCCAAAATCTCACTTTGTATAGTGAAGAGATTTTAATTTCAATTATTCTTCTTAAAAGGGAACACTAGTTTTGCACCGAGTTAGAGCTTGGCCCTATGTTATTCAGTCAATTAGATTCTGTTTGCATATTTGGAACAGAAAACCAAAAGGAATCCTGTGGAAGGATATTGCAGCCCCATTTCTATGAAATAAATGGTGTTCTTTGAATTCATCTTAACTTATACCATACCTGATATCCAATAAGATAAACACCTCCCACCAAGCAAAGACTCGCTTGTTGGACAGTCAGGCATATACATTATGCCATGTTTCCCCTAAAAGAAAGTGAAATGCTATTGAAGAGTTGAGTCTTCAGTCATACTTCCGAAAGTCAAGATCAAACCACGGGAAACAATTTTCTTTTCATTGCTTCTCTGCTCTATGATTCTTGCAGTTCCACCTGCAGCTGTGAGATCGATTCTTAAATTGCTGTTGATTTGGAGGATATGTAGACAAGCACATTGTTAGTTTAGAAATAACATCATGTGAACAATTTGTTGTGCACTAGACTTTGTGCTGTTATAGTTGATGGCATAGGATGATGGCCTTGGATTTAACCTATTATGGATATGACATATGAGATCTCAGTTCCATGCCGACAAATGTATTTAACTATTTAATAGGGGAAGTTAATGATGGTGCTAACTTGTCACAGGTCCTTAAAGCTTTCCCGTACCCAGTGACAGTCACTTCAGTTCAATTTGCTGTTGGGACTGTCCTTGTTATGATCATGTGGACATTCAATCTCTACAAACGGCCTAAAATCAGTGGTGCACAGGTACTCAATACTATTCAGGAATGATTATGCTATAATATTTTTGTTCAGTTGATCAATCATAAATATGGAACTAATCATCAATTGCCTGGGCAGCTTGCAGCAATCCTTCCATTGGCCTTGGTTCATACCTTGGGCAACCTTTTCACCAACATGAGTCTCGGAAAAGTTGCTGTTTCATTCACTCATACAATTAAAGCTATGGAGCCTTTCTTCTCAGTTGTCCTCTCAGCTATGTTCTTAGGAGAGGTGGTATTCCTATTTTCTCAAGTCAATACCTTCTATTATTTAAGTTATGTTTTTCATACTCGTTTCTCATGGATTTTCTGAATGCTTATATTATCACGATGTATAATATTTCTGTCAGTTGAAGCAGCCATAATTTATTACATTTCTTCATTTTGTTAAAACTGTCTGTTTAGAGCTCTTATTTATGATATTCTACTACTTGAGACACTTCTCTTATGTATTATCTAGAGAATTCCTGTTTCTACCTTAATTATCATAATCACAGATTCCTAGGGGCTTTATAATGGGAAAACACAACTGTTTCTTTTTCTTTTTCTTTTCTTTTTTCATATGAAAGGGGAGCTTCTATTGAAAAATATGATAAGTACAAAAAGAGGACAAGACAAACTCTTTATGCTAGAGATGAACACATAAATGAGATCATATTACTCGAGTTTTCCAAATTATAGAAAGATGGGACGCAATTAAACTTTTGTTCAGAAGACATCCTATACTGATATACAACCCTTTTCCACAGACACTCAGTCCATTGCCACCCTGCTAAAATTTTTGCATTTCTTTGTAGTTATAAGAACTGAAAGGATATCAAAACTTGATACTTTCAAATAGCTCCAGCTTTATGGAAGAACCATACCCACCATTATACTGAGATGTCATGGAAAAGCTGGTTCGAGGAGTCTCCCAATCCCAATCAAGTCCCTTTTCCAATAACAGAGTACTCTAACATCTCGAGGCCAACTCAGTGCAACAAAAGATGATCAATCAATTCTGATTATGTCATATAATACACCAAGAAGGCAACAAAACGATATAAGGCCTCTTTCTGTTAGATATTCTGTGGTATTTAACTTACCTTCCGAGCAAAAACTTTTAAGTATGGTGAAAATAGATGATTTCCATATGATTGTAAAAGAAAAAAAAGGAGAATTTGAGAAGGAAAAAAAAATACGAGAGAGAGAGAGAGAGAGAGAGAGAGAATAAAAACCCCAAAACCATCTTATTTTCCCTATCTACCTGTATTGGAAACCATTAAGCAAAAGAATCAATTTTTTCCAAGTTTCTATCACTAAAATTCTCTCCCTCCAAATGAAAGGAAAAGAAAAAAAAAAGAAAAAGAAAATTGGGTATAGAAATTCTAAGAACAGAAGGGTAATAAGCTGAGGAAAACAAGTGGCAAAAGACTCCCATCCTGCTTCCACACATCTTCAAGAATCAGAGCTTTCCTTATTACGAGGAAAAGTAATTGTAGAGTAATTTGTGAAATACACTCCCAAAGTCCATACTATTCCAAATCTTGCCCTATGTAATATGTTATGGATCAAATTTGTTTCATAACTTACTTTCAGTTTCTATAGAGGAGTTGAATTCAGGTTGCTACCATGCTAGCACTGATTATACTGAAGTATTTGGCTATTTTCTGAGACATTCAACTTTTATATTGCTGTTCTATAATTTCTTTTCCACTTTGTGCAGTTTCCTACAATATGGGTGGTTGCTTCTCTTTTACCAATTGTTGGTGGAGTTGGTTTGGCATCAATGACTGAGGCTTCTTTTAATTGGTGAGACATGATAACGCATCACTCTCAATAAATGCTTTTGCTTCGATTCTCTTTAACTGTATATACTAAGTTTTTCATTTTGTTGTTTTGAGAATTGACATGGAACTTGTACTTTGTTTTAAGGGCTGGTTTTTGGAGTGCGATGGCCTCAAATTTGACCAATCAATCTAGAAATGTCCTTAGCAAGAAGTTTATGGTCAAGAAAGAGGTATATATAGTCTCAATTTTATTTTCACCTATCTGAAACGATGCAGTGCTTATCAGGAATGTAGGTGTAATTTTTACGGATTATTCATTGCTGTATTCATGAGAATTGCTTGTGGAATATGATTGCGGTAAATATTTTTATCATTGTATATCTGAAGTGACATTCATTTCCAAATTACTTAGAAAAAATGAAATTGAGATTTTATTTTCCACAATTATTTTTCTAGGATTGGTGTATCATCTCCTGTTTGGTTTTTTTTTTTTCCTTGTAGGAATCTTTGGACAACATCACTCTCTTCTCAATAATCACAATTATGTCCTTCATCTTGCTGGCTCCTGCTACTATATTTATGGAAGGAGTTAAGTTTACCCCGTCATATCTTCAGAGTGCGGTAAGAATATATCAAGATTTTCCGTTTCATGAATTACATCTTTCATTTGTTGGGTCATTGTTTCATCTGTCAAAGAATTAAAACAAGATAAATTAATTATCATATTGTTTCTTGCCAGGGGTTGAATATCAGGCAACTTTACACAAGGTCTCTCATTGCTGCTCTGTGTTTCCATGCATATCAGCAGGTAAGCATCTCAGGTTTTTCTTCCATTTTTCAAGCGACTTGCATAATACCATGCAACTCGGAATTTTGAACCACGAACCTCTGCCAAAGTACTCAATCACATACATACAATTTGATAAAAGTCAAAGATTAATGCTAGAAAGTATTATAAAATCTATCTGAAGAGGCTATTATTATGAGAATGCTAACAACGGTTGTTATACAGGTTTCGTACATGATATTGCAGAGGGTGTCCCCAGTTACCCATTCTGTGGGCAACTGCGTGAAGAGGGTGGTGGTGATTGTGACCTCTGTTCTCTTCTTCCGCTCACCAGTTTCACCTATTAACTCCTTGGGTAAAATACTTCACATGTCGTTCTACGAGCTTGTAGAGGATTTGAAACGAATCAACCAATTTCTGCAGTACTAAAATTGACTTTATTTGTGATTTGGTGCAGGCACTGGCATAGCCCTTTCTGGAGTGTTCCTGTATTCAAGAGTGAAGCGTATTAAGCCAAAGACGGCTTGAAGTTGTTATTTCAGACAATTTTGTTGGTTAATCATGTTATTAGATTTCAAAGCACCATCGCAATCTTGTTTCTATGTTAGTTCTGTCTTCTTGAGATTGGTTCATTCTTTTCTCTGGATATCCAGAATGAGTGCTTTAAATTTGGCCGAGTAACTGTTCTTCTTCCCTAGTTGTAATGACAATCTTGTTATAGTTTCCATTCCAAACTCGATCGAAGATAGATTGGGAAGGGAATGTTTACAGTTGTTGGAGTATGACTTTTCATTTGTCTTCTAACTTTCAATAAGTAGTCTGCTACTGGCTAAAAAGCCTCAGATGTACACTTGAAAAGAATCAATTGTTAAAGAGCCAACTTTTGAAAATGTATTTAATGATACAATATTTAAATTTACCATATGAAATCATTTAAGCAATTCAATAGTCAATAAAATGTAATTTATTTTACTGAAAAAATATTGACTAATAACCTCTGGACAATTAAAAGTTCATAGTGACCCAATCAAGTCATGAATCTAACACTAACCAACTAATGTTTTCTTTCTTTCAAGAATTTAAGTTGGATGCTTACCCTCCCACAGGATAGAGAGCAATCAATGGAATCATTTCTCAGGGATGTGTTTCAAGCATTCTCTTCTATTTTATCTTTTATTTCACTCTTGCAGTTTCACTAATTTTCACATAACGGGTTAAATTGTAATGTNCTTCTATTTTATCTTTAATTTCACTTGTGTAGTTTCTCTAATTTTCACATAACGGGTTAAATTGTAATGTGTTAGGATGGTGTTGTAAACTTATTTTTAAGATTTAATTTATATGGTCTTATTTTAGATATTAAATTTGTGCTTAGTGTTTGATTACTTCTTATTGATTAATTGCTTTCCTATTATTTGACCAATTTTAGGATAAGATTGAGAATTACATTGAGACATAGAGGTGAAACTTGTTTAGCTCTCTTAACAAGTAAAATAAATTACAATAATGAATAGACATATATGTTGGGTTTATTGTTTTGTCACGTAAATTTACATATGTAATCAATTGTGTACAAAACTATCTTAAAATTGAGCTCAATTAGAATAATCTAATAAAGAATTAAATTGTTGGGTTAGAACATCTAAATAAAGGGTGAGTCAGATTATATGTGTAAAGACCGAATCCATAAGGGTTGTATTTGACAATGAGCCAAATACGTATAAAAACTATAAATATGGTTATGATTCCCAATTCATATGTAATATCTCATTTTTTGTATCTTTCATCGACACAAGAATAAAAAGAAAGCATTGACGAAGAAGATAAAAAATCCACAATGAATAATGAAGAAGAAGGATTGGAACAATTAAATTGAAGAACAAGACAATCAAGACTATAGATCAAGAAGCAAAATCAAGTGAAATAATATTGAGGTGTTCTCCCGGATGTGACTGGTGTTCCGGCTGCTCAGTTTGGTATTTACCACCTGCAAAATGAGATCAGGGCTCTCTCCCCCGTTGTACTTCAACGCGTGAAAATTAATATTCAGTATTGGAGAATATAAGGAGATAATATTGGAATTCAGATAATTCGGGTTTCAAGCAGATTACCTTTCTCATCTTGAAGGTATTTATAGACGCTTGTTGTCGGACAAGCGTTGGAGTTAGTGGTGCCGCGTGTCCCAAGTAGACCTCCCAAAAACGTGGGAGTAACCCCCACTTCGCGGGTGGTTGGTTGTCCCACGTTCACCATTGACCGGTTCCTGTCCAGCTCGTTGTCTTTGGTGTTGTTAAGTACGCCATTGAACTCATTGCGGTAGATGGCCTATGTGAGCGTAGGGGGTCGCATGGAGGTCGACAACCTCAAAGGGGTGATGGCCTGATGGCGGCAGACAATCTTTTGCTGGTAGTCTACCCATGTGAACGTAGAGGTCCTTATGAGAGTCGATGGCCTGTTGGGGGTCGACTTTTTCATGGTGGTGGACATGTGAGTCAGCGGTTCCATGTGGTAGATGTGAAGCATGTTTCGAATAACAATGGCCCACGTGGTAGACCGTCAATTCCATCCTATATCACTACCAATGAAATAATAGTGAGGTGTTCTCCCAGATGTGACTGGTGTTCCGGCNAATTGCAAAAATCAGGTTTTTTTTTAAAATTAATTAATTATATTTCACAATTATTATATTAAATTAAATATTTAACTATAATATAATATAATTAACCCTACCCCACCAAACTCCATCTCCACCACCCCCATTGCTCCGGCGATTGTTCTTCGACCGCGCTTAATTTCGGCGACTACTCCGATTCCGACAATTGTTAAGGTCACAGTTATATGCAGTTTGGTCACGGATTATTTCGAGATCACAGATCAAAAAAATTCATAGATCATAGTTGACTTCATATGTCACTGATAAAAAAATTAGAGGTCACATGTTATATTTTAATGTCATAGAGTAACGAATTTTAAGATCACAGACACTTCGACCCATCCACCGCACCAGTCCCCCAATCACAATACACCAACAATACTTGGTCACAAGTCACAGAACAACCAAAATTTTATATAAGTCATAGATTGAAAAAAATTAAAACTTTTACGGGTTACAGTCACATTTTCTAAGTCACAGATACCCACGACTGCCATGCCACCACCACAGCCAACATCCCAACCACCACCAAAAATATTAGATCTACAGAACCACCACCACCAACACGACCACCGCCACAGTAATTATGCCACCGCCACTCCACCTCACAACCAAAAATGCAGCTCCACCACCACAATCATACCAGCCACCAGATCCACCGCACACCCCATCACAACCAATTTGATATGGTTTTAATATATTGGTACAGATAAGAAATTATATATATACTAGGTGCAAGCAACGTGCAATGCACGTTTGCTTAGTTTATATTTAATAATTTTGTTTAAGGATTAATTTATTATTAATAAAGATGTAATTTTTTGGTTAAATAAATAATTAATCATGTAATGTTTATGTAATTGATAAATAATTAGATGTGTGATTTTGAT